CAATTATTAATGCACTTTTACAGTTAAAATACGTTTCGTCAACCATCATATAAACAAAAGGAAGTAACTGTTGTACTGGTATTTTTATATTTACTGCATATTATTTTTATATCGAGTCCACTTGACAAAAAAAATAAATAAATAAATAAAATAAAAAAAATAAAAAAAATAAACTACAAAAGAAAATGTTATTGCCTTTCTGCTCATCGATTCCATGTTCTCCATTAATTTAATACTTTTATTTTAAAACCTGCTTCATAATTCTTTCTTTTACTCATGATTAGTGTTTGCAACAATTAAAATTATAAACTATAAATTTGGCTACCAACTATATTGCTGCCCAATGCAAAATAGTGCAAACGTTTTGGGTACTAGATTCATGCACTTTGTTTTTTGTAAATAACACTTAAGAACACCTTTTAATGTTATATGAAACAAACCATTAAAAAAAATTATCTCAAAGAATATATTTCATTTCTTTAAGTCATAATTTCCAACATATTTTTGACAATATATATATATATATTGCAGAATGAATCTTGGGACTATTTTTTCTTTGTCAATAAACATCTACACGTGGTTCCTTAACTTATGTATCCATGTTCAGGGTTTCAGTCTAAGTGCAAGGGCCCCGACCAAACAATAACTGATGGATCAATGAATATTTTACAATTTTATTTATTTATTGTGATGGATATGTGAATGTAGCAGTAAGTTTAAAGCAGCGAGTCAGTATATATGATAGATAAATTGTTTCTATATAAAGAAAAACCACAACTTTAGTGTTTGTTTGGGTATCATTCCAATTTCTCAGAAATCATGATGACAAGGTAGTGTTGTTTTATATTTATGTTAAGCAAATAGCTCACACTCAATATTTTGGGAAATTTTTGGTAAAAAAAGTGCAACCTATCCATGAGTATATACAGTACTTCTTTTAGACTAGTTTTTATGCATGTCAAATCCCATATTGTTGGAAATTTTGATGATTGTTTTTCTGGTTAAGAAAAGACACATATCAACTTAATGACAAACCATTTTATATACAAACATCTTCCAACAACCATAATCAATAATAATAAAAAAAAAAAAATAAATAAGTATAATAAATTAGTTTGGTTTGTTTTACAGCATATCAACCTCAATGGGTTATTTAATGCCAACAACTTTTTTTTTTCCTGGTAATATTTTGTTTTGTCAAAAATCTATAGCTGGTAATATTCTTTTTTTCCCAAAAATGTATTGGTGGTAATATTTTTTTTTCAAAAATATATTGCTGGTAATAGTCTTTCCATCAAAAATTTATTTTTGGTAATTTTTTTTTTACAAAGTATTTCTGGTATTAAAACCTATTTTTACACTTTTATAATACTGTTTACCTCAGTTTCAGGGTTAACTATTTGCCCATAGTTGGGACCCTAACAGGTGCTACCACCCCGGGTCAGGGTGAACCTGGGAACATCAGCAATTAAGAGGAGGTTTCACGCTCCTCAAAACCTGATCAGAGGCCTTGCGGTTGAATGTAGTTTATCGTCACACCCAGGACGCTATAATAAATTAATCCAAATCAATAAATAAAGTAAATAAATAAACAAATTAACAAATTAACATACTACAAATGCACACAAACACAAGTAAATGCAACAACAACAACAACTCCTCGATCAATAATAACGTTAACACAATAAAATAAAACAACATTAACACTATAAAATAGCCATAAAACTACACTCGGCTTCAATTATTTCCACTCAATAACCCCTAGAATAATTTGAAACATAACCGTTACACCCATCCTATAATCATTAGAATAATACAATAATGCATCACTGGCCAACATATATAAATAGTTGAGATAAAACAATGCATATGGCCTGACAGATGGTCTTTAAGCATGAAACAAGACTGTCACTGCTGGATGTTAACTTCAATATCCACATGCTTTGTCCCAGATATCAAGCACTTTAAACCATAAATATAGCATACCTTAAAATTATATTTTTATCATATATTTATGGGTTAAAGTTATAACCTAAAGATAAACAAAGAATGATGCAAACAAAATCTAGAATTGCGAAAATGTTAACCAGAAAAAAAAAAAAAAAAAAAAAAAAGCAAATACAACTTTAAGAATATCACAAAAATAGATTTGAGAAAATTAAAATCTAAAGTGGATTGACAAGCAAGAAAATTATTTACATTATTCGGACTATTGTCCAAAAATAAGAAAATATCTTAACATTGGGATCTTATGAATGTAAACAGATAAAGAGGCAGAATATTAAGAGCATTAGCAAAAGACATGAATGCAACCAAACTACCAGTTTTAAGCTAACATCACAAAGATGAAAATATATGTCAGGTGATGAGGTACATGAAAACAAATTTCTTAAAAGTAATTTTTAGTGATCACTATAGAGTTATATTAGGCGGACCTAATGACTGGGTTAGAGGTTAAGCCTTATGACGGTAATCAACCAGGATGACTTCAAAGACAAAAACAGAAGAGGAGTAACATTTTAGGCTAAGTATTGTAAGCAGTAAAATTAGAAGTACCATCAAAGATGATAATTATGTCAGGATAAAGGCAGAGTGTTATTACAAGTTCTTAAACAAGACATCTTTTGAAGGATACTGGTGACAACCAAAACATTTTAAGCTGAAGTGTATAGTCATACAAGACAATGCTCCTTCACATACTGAAAAGATGACATCCCCACCCACAACAAAAAAAAAAAAAAAAAAAAAAAAAAAAAAAACCCCTTGTGGTCCATCATTAAGAGATTTAAAACTAGAAAGAAGTATTGCGACTATGATGATTTTGAGACTATTGTTGGTTTGTTGTGTTTTACAGCATATCAACCTCAATGGGTTGCTGACAACTTTTTTCCCTGGTAATATTTTGTTTTGTCAAAAATCTATTTCTGGTAATTTTTTTTTTTTTCTTCAAAAATTTATTTCTGGTAACAGTTTTTTTTCTTCAAAAATTCATTTCTGGTAATAATTTTTTACAAAGTATTTCGGGTATTAAAACCTATTTTTACACTTTTATAATACTTTTTACCTCAGTTTCGGGGTTAACTATTTGCCTATAGCTGGGGCCCTAACAGGTGCTACCACCCCGGGTCAGCGTGGACCTGGGGACACCATCAATTAAGAGGTGGTTCCACACTCCACAAAACCTCCTGATCAGAGGCCTTGCTGCCGGACATAGTTTATCGCCTTACCCAGGATGTGGATGTAGTTTATGGTCATACCCAGGACAGTGAAACTATTGAGATTTCAAACTAAAAAGCACTATTCAAGCAAAGTTGATTTCTGGAAAACAATTATTACTTGCAGTTTTTAAGTCAGAAATAGAAAAATTAAAATCAATGGATGACCATTATAAAATGTCAATGAGCACATATTAAAAGAAAATTTATTCAGATATATTGGAAATTGTGTTAAATACGTTTCTATGACTTACATCTTTTGAACTTAAATTTTTATTTAAGTGATACTTTATTTGAATAGTAAAACCAGATATGCTAAAAACAAATTATTACCAAAATTTTTAATAATGATAGATATACTGACAAAAAATAAAAGAAATGCAACACACCATATGTTTCAGTTCAATTAAGTTTAAATATCCAGGGAATATATATGGATTCCCTGAGAGCAAAGTTCAAATATCCAATCAGATCCATTACATTCACTTACATGCTAATACCCTTGGGAAAGGTATGAATCCTCTTTTTCCCCCCCAGCTATGGGTAAATAGCAGGACAGACTGGGTTCTATAATCTTGGATGGCAAACCGGTTAGGAGAAGGAAAAACTGAATTTAAAATTGGCCTGGAGAAGAGGGTTGGGCTCAGTCAAGCTATCTGGCCCAAGAAATGCAATTTCTACTGTGGCTGCAGTATACATGACCTATAGGGTCACGGGATAAAAAAAAAAAAAAAAAAAAAAAAAAAAAAATATATATAGATTGATTACAGTAAATCTTATATACAGATCCATACATGCACAGGTTCTTAAATACTGTATATCCTTCTTGGGTATAAATACATATAGTAAATATATAATTCTAAGTTTCATGTACTGTGGATAGGTTAACTGCTTTCATCCAGTTATGTACCATTCATATGCAATGAGGGATAGATTAGGTGATCATGTCAGCCAAATAAGTAGTGAAACATCTTAACAAGTAGGTTGAGTAGCATGGGCTCAATGGGGGCAGGTATTATTCTGATGGCAGCAAAATGGATTGAAAATGGTTCTGAACATACATGGTGCTGTTCAATATGCCTTCTACAAAACACCAAGTTTGTAACTTATGACACCCAACACCAAGGTTTGAGCCTGTGTGTTGTGAAAATTTTTTATTATAATATCTGCTTAGCCCCAAGTATGCACATATTGTACCCAGGTCAATATTGGCATTGTCCTTCAGGGTGTTGCAACTTTATTTTCTGTCAGTGCATAAGCTGAAACTCACACAATATTTTGTTCACATAAATATCGCCTGCTTAATAGCAAGTTTATTGTCAAAACATTGACTTGCATAAAATCTGATACTATCTAGCACAAGAAAATGTTAAAAAAAAAAAATAAAATAAAAGATTATTTTTATTAAATGTGAGGAAAATATAAATTAAAAACAGTATCAATTTTCTTGCAGACATCATGAAAAATAAAAAAATAAACAGACATGACTCAATCCATATAAAGAGCCCAATTTTGCCTAAACTCAAACTATTGAATAAGATAATGGTTTTGTGTTTTTCACTCCACCTCCTCTCGCTTCAGAATCATGAGGAAATTTTTGATGCGAGATCCTAACCCCCTCTACACCTACAGGGATGAGGGAAACGAAACTACCAAATTCAACTTCAAGCAGCAGCTAGTCAGCGCAGTAGCAGTAAACAAACATGTAACAAAGGGAATTATGCTATTTCTTGCATTAATGAAAGCTAGAAACAACAGGAAGTATCGTTATGGTATGTGTGTAATTTATATACGAGAGAGGATGAAAAGAGAGAGGATGAAAAGAGAGAGAGGATGAAAAGAGAGAGAGGATGAAAAGAGAGAGAGGATGAAAAGAGAGAGAGGATGAAAAGAGAGAGAGGATGAAAAGAGAGAGAGGATGAAAAGAGAGAGAGAAAGAGGATGAAAAGAGAGAGAGAAAGAGGATGAAAAGAGAGAGAGAAAGAGGATGAAAAAAAAGAAAGAGCGCGGATGAAAAAAAGAGAGAGAGCGGATGAAAAAAAGAGAGAGAGCGGATGAAAAAAAGAGAGAGAGAGAGCGGATGAAAAAAAGAGAGAGAGAGAGCGGATGAAAAAAAGAGAGAGAGAGAGCGGATGAAAAAAAGAGAGAGAGAGAGCGGATGAAAAAAAGAGAGAGAGAGAGCGGATGAAAAAAAGAGAGAGAGAGAGCGGATGAAAAAAAGAGAGAGAGAAGAACAATAAACCAAGCTGCAGTTAGCTGCAATAATAGGTAGTTCTCTTACTAGAGCTTAAGTGTAATTAGTACTGAAGAGCTTTAAGTTCTTACTGGAGATTTTATACAAACAGCGGACTGGAATTGAAAGAGATTTGACCAAGCATTTAGAAGTTCTGAAAGAATTAAAACAATTATAATAATGAAAAGTGATTAGAAATTGAATGTGTTACACTATCTCCCTAAACTTTGACCAATATGAAAATGTTGGCCTAAAACAATTCCAATACTTTTCAAATTGTCAAGGTCAGGGATGCACAATGTTGCTTACTCCCCCCCCCCCATACACACCTTTCACCATTTGTTAGAATGCCATTCCCCCCACCTCCTTTTCAAGGTAACAGGCCAGATAGGTCAAATTCTGTAATTGTTCTCTTTATCCCCTAAATTTACTGTGGTCACAATTCACCCCTGAAAATCAAAAATTCACCACCTGGGGGTGAATTTCACACCTGTTGAGAACCCCTGGCCTAAGTAATAGCTAAAAGCCTCTAAAAAGCAATAAACTGAGGAATTCCATTGAGAAACAATACAATGTCTGCTAGAATAAAGACTTAATATGTGACCATTTAAAAGAACCTGATAAGCTACCCACTACCAGTACCCTAATATAAAGAAATGGTTTAAAAAAAATCAAAATTTACAGTCAACTTGAATTTACAAATACATTTTAATTAAACATTTGTCAAATTCCATTTTAAAAATATTGAAATTATTTGTGAATTCTGACTGAAAGTATATCTTAATTTTCAAAAGTTAGATTAAAATAAGTTGTATATTTCCCCTGAAAGACAAAAAAAAAAAAAAAGACTCGTTTAAAAATGAATGTTTAAGATGAAAAAAATCATTAACTGGAAGGAATTCTTGAAACTATAAAGAAAAACAGATTCTTTGTTTTATTTTTTTTATAATTCAGTACCAAGAAATGAAACCAACATTTCGGTGGTCTTTAATAAAAGTATTTATTTTTACAAGAAAAGAGTCTAAATCAAATATTTTTTTTAAATTAGAATTTATATGCCACTATATGAATGTATTGCAATTATGTCATCAATTTATTTGTTACACAGAATTCCTTACTGGGCAAAAATGACTATATTCAATGAAAACCAAAAAAGAAAATAATCATTGTAAAAAGTTTTCATTAGACACAAACACGACTTAGGCTTTGCTCAAAGATCAATGTAAAATATCAAGTTTTAATTTTTAGTTTTTATTTTCATAATGAAAAAAATCTCTTTGCATAGAAATATTTTAGAAACATACTTCAATGCAGAAAATGCATTTGAAAATAATATTCTATCTTAAATACACATAAGTGACACCAAATCCAAGTGAAGTAATTTAATTCTGTTAATGGATGAGGAATTAATAATACTGCATTCCATTACTTTTTGTTTTTTGTTTTGTTTACAGCAGAAAATAGGCAAGAGAAAGTAATAGGAATCCATGTATCCAGAATTAAAGTCAAGACTAACAACTGACCACCACATCCAGCAAATAAAAAATTCTACTCCTTAGTGAATTTTATACACTATGGTGTATGAGCATGACAATAAAATAGTAGTCATAAGTTAATTTCAGCCAATCCCACAGTAACACAAATTTAAAGTAACAACACAACCAATCTAAGTGTTGCTAATTTTGAATATTGATTTCATCTTTATCACCACCATGAGTTCAGGATTTGTGATGTTTTCACTTGATAGTTTGTCAACTAAAAGATAATATCAAGCTATGAACTTTGGAATGTTTATTACAATATACAAAAGAGATTCTTTTTATCGAAGACAACAGGGAAATTGATTTGAAAATATTTAACCAGTTAAATTATTAGCCAAGCTATGTTGAGGCTTTTACTTTTGATACACAAACAAAGCAGAACACTTTTTCACAAGTTTTACTAATAGAAACCAAATGAGAGAGGGAAAAAAAAACAAAAAAAAACAAAAAAAAAAACAAAAAAACATGCAAGCCCAGAAATAAGTGTCAACAGAATTCACAAATTCATTAAATGAAAAACTCATTAACAAAAAAGTTTTAATTTTAATAGGTTAGTATTATTAGCAAATATTAGCTGTGACTAGTACCAAATGGAGTTATTGAATGTTTAGAATTAATTTTTAGATGAATTGATGTTCTACTGATAGATAAATCTGCCTCTCTTGTAAATCAAGAGGGAGTGGGTCAAAAGAATATTGTAGCATTCTATATATACACACACACAAATAAATAAAGAGAGAGAACAGACAGACTAGGAATCCAGTTTTTAGCTTTTTATTTTATTTATTTTTTTTTTTTTTAAAAGTGCTCAACACAATGTAGAGCAAAACAATATATTTTACATCACTACACAAAAATTTCCATGTTTCGGAACTTTAAAATTGTCCCTCATCAGGCAATGTTAGATAACTTAAATAATGTAAGTACTTAACATGGGTATGTCCACTATTTCGGCATAAATTTTCTATATTGAAGTTTAAAATGAATTTTTTACAATGAAAAAACATTCTTGAAGATTTCATTTTAGCTTTAATTGAAAGTTTAATAACTAAATTTACGATTTCTATTAATTAAACAATTCTGGTGTATTTCAGATAGAAACTATATACATTTGATTGTCAAATTTAATTTCAAATTTTTAAATTTTCTTAAAACGGCCATTTTCTTAATTTTAAGAAATTTGTAAACAAACACAAATTTATCGATTTTTAAAATATTTAAAAAAAATTCTGACACGTTATTTTAGTAAAATTAAAAAATTTAAAGTTAAAGTAATCTGATTTCAAAGAAATCTTTGTTACTTATAGCATAAAAAATAATATACAAGCAATTATTTACGAGCGGTCCTGTTCATCTGTTCGATCTTATTGATACTGGTTGATTGACGAGCCGATAACAGCTACTACTGATGACCATAAATGACATAATTTTTAAGTCTGAGTTTTAAAAAAATTATTCTATTTTAGTATGACACACACTAATGGAAATACAATACATAAAATAAAATTATTTAGTGAAATAGTAAATGAAAAAAAAAGAAAAAAATAATTTAAAATTTAAAGTTTACACTTTTACAGCTGATCGGAAAATACAATCTGTTAATAAACGAAATGTTTTGAAAAAAGCCACGTAAAGGACAAAACCCTTAGATCACGTGACCTTGTTATAATAATGGCAATTTCTGTATATCATACATGGAAATAAGGAATGTATTAAGTAAAAAAATACAACATAAAAAATTATTTTTAAAAAAAGTAGCTCAACTAAATTTATTAAACTTAGCAAATTTGGATTCGTAAATTTTTTTTCTACTTAATTACTACATAATATTGAGGGGCCCTCCTAATACAGAGCTTTACGCGATGTTAAACTATTATAAATTATTATAATTAAAACTTCTTAAAAAACGAAAAAATTCTTGTAAAAATTAATTATTCATCAGAAAAAATTATTTCTTCAGACAATAATGTTCTTAATATTACTTATTTACAAAAAGCAATTAAAAGCTTTTCTAATTAAGTAATATCATAGTTTTATTGGATTCATTATTTTCAATTCAGACAAGATTTTCAGTTAAGTAGCTCAAATTTGTGAAAGAAAAGTAGGTTATTTACCATCTCCAAAGATTCCTTCTTTTAACAAAAAAATAAAATTGAGGAGCCAAAAGGTTTTGGGCGAAATTTCATGAAATTAACTAAGTGGGGGGGTAACATATTTAAAAAAAATATTTTTACCAAAATTTTCTAAAAACAAAATATTTGAAAAATAATTTCATTCATTTGTGAATAAGTCCTGAAAATTTCATTAAGATTGACAATTATTCTATTTTTACAAGAATTTCCAAATCAATATATTTTCAACGGAAAAAACACAAAAAAAAAACTATGTTATTTTAAAGGTCGCCGCGATGACGTAAACAAAGACGACTTTAACCAAAATTTCGAACGTGTTAGAAAAATATTAAAAATTTCAAAAAAATAATTAAAAAATACTTTTTTTTCTTTCATCTTAATAATAACATAAGCATTTTGACGATAATACTTTATTTTCTTTAAGTTTGTGGTATTTTTCATTTACGCTATGCTGTTTTTCCGCGAAAACAGTGGACATACTTAAAACATCACCTGATGGACAATTTTGAAGTCCTGAAAAATGGAAATTTTTGTGTAGCAATGTAAAATATTATAATAAAAATATCATAGTGTGTGTGTGTGTGCATATATACATGTATTTGAAAACATTTTACCAAGTATAAAGTAAATTCTTTAATAATTTCAGTTAATAAATCATTTCCCATAATTAGATAACACTTAAGTGACAATGAAAACAAAGATTGTGACACTCATTTGTAGAATGCAACTCAAGCAGACTAGAAGCAGAGTGCAGAAAGAAAATCAAAAAATTTTGTTAAGAAATTATTTTTTTTTGACAGCTTTAAAAATAAAAAATAAAAAAAAATAAAAAATAAAAAAAATAAAAAAAACACTTTTGTCAATCAATAATTAAGAAAACATTAACATGAAAAAAGAAAATTAAATGTCATACTTATGAAATGAAGTTGATGTGAAAGTTCTCAGTCAACATATTAAATTACAGGTGAATAAATATATCAGGTGAGAAGTGAGTGCCATCTACACAAGATAAAGCAATGAGAGAAGTATCTAGATGTTTATATTGCATCAAAATGCACAAAGAAAAATAAGGAAACATGATTACAATCATCTCATGCATTTACTCATCCAGTTATATTGGTGGTAAATGAAAACAAGAGAAAACTTATCATGAGAAGGATTTGCAAATAGTAGTTTGTTTATATATATATATATATATATATATAAAAATAAATAAAAGAAGGGAGAAAACAAAAACGTTTTTGGTTGTAATGAGAAATCCACATATTATAAGCAAAAATGTTTGCGGTTTTCTTTTTTAATATACAACTTTTCTTTAATTGGAACTTCCATAACCTCTTCCGTTATATATATATATATATATAATAAAAATTCTACTGAAATTAACTATTGAACCCAAGAAAACAAAAAGGTCTAAAATGAAAGTTATCAGTCAGTCACCTACCAAAGGTTACTGAAAGAGGGAGAGAGAGAGACTTGGAAATTTATACCTCAAGTAGGGTAGATAAGAATCAAGCAAAATGTAAGATGACTACTTTGGAACAGTTTCAAAGAATTTTTTTAAAGCCAATAATTGGGTCATTCAAAAAAAAAAAAAAAAAAATATTCACAATTCTAATAGATGTCAGTTTCATGACAATGTCACATATAAATCAACTGCCAGACA